GCTGCTGTCAGCCAGCAATTGATGTGAGTGCTGTTGCTGCTGTCAGCCCAGCAATTGATTTGAGTTCTGTTGCTGCTGTCAGCTCAACGCTTGATACGAGTGCTGTGGTAGCAGCTGCATAAATCGGTAATTTTGAACTTATGTTTTGTTATTATTAATTATAATATTTAAATTTTAATGATCACTTTATATATTACTCCCACAATTAGAAGACAACTGCGACTTATTCTGGTTGCAATAAATTTGAATTAGTACGAAACCCGGTATATAATGTCGCCAAAGCCAGTAAAAAATCTGTCCACGACCTGGGCTCATATTTTACCAGAACATGAAACACTGACGACGAGTTTGTCTCGTTGGTTGACTATACATCTAGAGTTACTGCCGCAATGTTATCATATTAATAAAAGGCCTGCGTAGCTCCTTTAATTTCCGCCCTGGAGTTTGCTTGACTTGCCGCGCATGTGACGGGAAAAGCTTTATGAAAAGCCTGAATGTGCGACAGGGTAAAGGCGTGGCAATGTAAAGACTGATTTATTCATATCAAATGTTCGTCTATACATAATATTTACATAATTATTAATTGACCATATGATAATTATGATCAATTATATTGATAACGGGCAAGTTCAGTATATGTAAAACAAACGGATTAAATTGTATGAATTAAAGATAATCAATAAATCCTAAGCACTTTCATCTTCATGATTCCACTTCCTCTTCGACCTGTTACGAAGTGTTTGCTGGGCACATCGAGAAAACAAATCCAAGTGAAATAAGCGAAACTCATAATCAATGAAACTCATCACATAATTTTATGTTATTATTATTATTTTGATGTTTATTTATTTGTTTTTTTTTTTGCATTGGTGAGAGTGGAGCGGAGTTATTTTTATTTATTTTCTCTTCTTTTCCTCACAAAACGCTTAAGCGTACCGGATTTTCGTTACAATATTAAGGCTTTAAGTCATTAAAGGTTATGTTCATAAAAGTAAAACCATCGCGTTGTAATTAAACCAAAGATAGCATTTTTACAGTATCCTTCTAAAATACATTTTAAAGTCCTGTCCGATCAGAAAACAAAGCCATGATTTCGAACTTGAATGAAGCTCAACTCTATATGCATTGACATTGTGATTTCTCTGCTTTTATTCAAGGCATCATCCTGGAGCTGATTGCAGTGAGTTGAAATTCTCCCAGGACCAAGAATTACGTCCAACAAACTCCAATGAATTCCAAATGTAACCGGGAGACTTTACGAACAGGCACGGTCACGATGGGATGTGACCGCCCGCCTGTTAAAAAACATCGCCGTGTGGGACAGTTTCAGGTTTTGCAGACTGCAGGAGGATGAAAACTACCTTCAATTGATATAATTATCCTCGAAGGTCATTATTTTATATTAATTTCACTCTCAAATAATGTAATTTAACTGCTGAATTACTATTATAGCTTTTGTAAGCTTGTCATCCTTCATATAATGATATTAAACTGTTGAGGTGCAGCCATTGTCTTATTTTGAACTTGTCCACCTTAAAGTAATATAATTAAACTGACGAATGACAGTAATTACGTTATTTTTGTCATGATACAATATTCCATGATTACGCGTCGGAATTATTTTTCTATTCAATACGTAAGTGCTATATGTTGTTATCACTAGAATTAGAGTGTTTTTGGATAGCACTATTACAGTATATTCATTCTCGAATATAATAGTGAGGTTCAGGATGTTTATTAAATCTGTAAATAATTTCCAAATAGATATATTGTCAAGTCGGAGTCCATAATAATGAGAATTACTTTTAAATGATGGATCATTTAAAATCGGAATTTCTATGTTGCTTTTATTTTCAAGCAATAGAGTGAGTATTTTCTTCTCCTCTATTAAGAAAACTTTGTCGACATGCAGAGTCATGATAACTTCATGATAAATATAGAGATTAGAATATTAGAATTAAAAGTTCAAAATCCACCTACATTTTAGCACCTACATTTTCCCCGCTCTAAATAGCACCCACATTATTTCAGTTCTGATTCGCCAATTTTCCTAGGGGCATACATTGTCTCCTTTCTAGTTTCTATTGTCTCCCCTGTCCTACATTCTCTCCTCTCTAGACAGCACCTACATTTTTTCCTCTCTAGACAGCACCTACATTTCTCCTCTCTAGACAGCACCTACATTCTCTCCTCTCTAGACAACACCTACATTCTCTTCTCTTAAGACAGCACCATACATTCTCTCCTGTCTAGACATGCAGTGTCTGCTCTGAATGAATTCATCACCCGAATGCAGAACAAACTAATGTCTCATGCACTCCAGAAACTTCTCTCACTTTCGATATTCTATCGCTTTTTGTGTGCGGGCTCAGATCTGCTGGCTGGAATAATGGAATGCGTTAATTTCAGGAAGCCTGGCGCTTGAAATCTGAAGAAGCCTTTGACGAGGCGTCATAGGCAGGCTAGGCGTCACTTGAAACTTGACCAACAAACCTGGCAGAAGATTTTGGTCGGATCATCGGCGGCCACCGAAAGACATGGATTTGAAACCTCTATTGGAAACTTGAATTTGCAGAGCATAGTTAGAAAACCATAAAACCTGCTCTCCGTGAATATGTATGGGAGGCTTATGGTGCTGTAGCCTTATGAAAGACCATTGGTTTGCTAGCCATAAAATACATATTATTTTTGAAGAAAAATTAAAAACATTTGATTTCAAGAAATCGAGATTATCTGGCTACACGTTAAAATTATGACGCAACAGTTTACGGAATAAAGTGTTGTAAATTGTTGAAATAAAAAGACATTTGATGGACGAATTGAAGACATATTGATCTAAAAATCTCATACTTTTGTAAATTTTAGCGTATAATATAAATAGTATACTGTAATCTTTAATAGCTTCGTTCCATTTTCCCGCTGGAAATACCTTTGCTTGGCCAATACTCTGCTTGATACAAGCAGATGCTGGCTGTCACCTCTCATTTGGCCCGCAGCTCGGGACGCAAGCGAGATGAAGATTTTACCTTCACTCCGCCATATGGGAGCGCCAGAACGTCGAGGAGCATCCAGTCTACTACATCGAACAGCACTCAATATACCTCGCGCCTCTGCTTGCTTTTCGTTGCTTTGTTTTAACGTTTTCATGTGAGCAGCTGAGAATTTTTTAAACGAGAATTTTCCTTTAGAATGATAAAGTGTCTTTAGTTCGAAAACCTAATTGAGTCTAATGAATTGAATTATTAACATTAAAAATTAATGCTCAGTGTACTGTATACAGTTCTGTTATTGTTATACATCATTACCTTGGCCTGGACACTCAACTAAAAATCTGATCCCGAATTGAAATAAGACGAATGAAGCATAAAATTAGTTAGTCGAATAATTAGCTGAAGTTGAATCGAACTTAAATCCCGATTTATATGAGTTATTAAATTCTCTCTAAGATGCATGAAAGAATGAATGGTACAATAATTCAAAAAACATTGTATTGTGTTAATTACTAAGTCTATATACAAGACGCCGTGATCACAAAGGTCTCAGCATATCTGGAATCAAATTTTCGGGGATCACACACGTGTGTCCATTGCTTATTCCAGGAGTATCTGAATACGTCTTCAAAGTCCCACAGTTGCTTAGGGTAAAATTTTTGAGGGACGGTCTGCATTCCAATGCAGCTTGCAAATGAGCTCGACATGAAATGAGAAGACTTCTCTCAGGACTCGGGTCCCTTAAAGTCATAATCAACCTCCGTATTAACGTCTACTGTAAATGAAGGATGACTGCACACCCCTATACGTGTACGCACAGCACAGCTCGTAGCATCCGCAAGATTTTATAAATCAAACTGGAGTAGAGCGAGAAAATTATTTGGATGTTGAATATTGCTTTGCAGCATTCACGTGTTGTTTCGACGTATGAGTAATGCAAAATATGATCAGGTATCATTGTAGGAATATTGAAATTTATAACTTAATTACTATTTCATAGTTTCAGGGGGCACACAACGTTCAAAAAATATAACTCAGTACTCAATGCAGTGAGTGACAGAGAGCGCATTTTCTCGTCGACGAAAACTTGAGGTCACGGACGGATGGACAGACGGACGGACAGACGGACCGACAGACGGACATGGCGAGCACAATAGTGCATTTTTTCCATAAATGAGAAAATGCGCTAAAAAGCATGACAATCATCAACTCTTGAACTCCACACACCGGATAAATTGAGTAATTTCATTTCTCGAACGAAGAGCGCTGCCTGTTTTTTCACCCCATTGTTTCGCTTTAGAAAAGATATCAAGATGAATAGCAATATATTAAGATATTTATAATAGATATCATTGCCTTGGTATTGAAAAAAATTTATTTTGAGATCTATTTTCAAACTGTGAAGCGATGTTCTGAGAGAACTTGGTAAATTCACTCGTTAAAAGTACAAACGCTGAGCACAAATACGATCAAATAAATACCAGAATATAAAATTTATTATATAAGAGGCAGTAGAAGATACATTTTCATAGTACTAAAGTCACTACATTTTTCAAGATTAGGTTTGGAGAAACTGAAGTCTGAAGAATATATCTATCCTCAATGACACATTAGTCACCTCTCAACAGATACTGCACTTACCTCGCCGCTAGTCACTAAAAACATATGATTTGTACAAAACTACAATTTTTAGGGTTCGATAACTGCTGTATGATTGCGCTAGAAAGATATGGTTTATCTTATTAATCATTATTGATTATTATTAATAGTTAGATCGCAATTATTATTTCTATTATATTATTATTAATTATATATTATATTATTATTAATTAATTATTTGATTGATTTATTAATCAATATCGTTAATATTAATTAGATTACTTATTAATTGGATCGCAATATTGTTTCAATATCGTTTCTATTGAAGGCCGGCAACTTATGCGATGTGGCGACGTTATTGACGGTAGTTTAGTTCTTAGAGTTACGGTATTTTTACATTACGTTACTCACCACAGGGAAGCGCCGTGAAGACAACGAGCGTGAAAACAGCAGACAAAGGCGCTGTTGTTATCAAATGTTTGCTTGAAGGTCGCATCGTAGCAGCTTGCAATATTCGTTCTTCAGGTGGTTGTGTTATATTAAATAGAATCAATTTTTAAAAGATCAGAACTTATCATGCTCACCATAAGATTTCTGATTGTGAGATCAACACATGTTGTGAGATTGCTACTTCACTGATAATTTATAAACCAATTATGAACTTGATAATATTTATCTAATGCATCTCATGTGAACATATATGATGTCTATAAGCAATCCTCGTCACTGAGCCTTTTTCGGATAGAACAGAGGCACAGCGTAAAGTTTGGTTGAGATTGGGTCAATGCACTTTACGTCACATAATTATTAATATATTTTGTCAGCGGCACTCCTTAAAGTAAAACAGATTATTGGCTAATTGATGTACATTGAAGGGTCGTCAATCCCGTTTTAATTGCTCGATAAAATGTCCGTATTCTCGTTAATCATTTTCTTAGCTGGTGAACAGAGTTATTAATGATGGCACAATTAAAAATCACCTAACATGTGAAACTTATAAACGTTATTACCTCCCACAAGACACATAGGGAACACTAATCGGTTCGATTTAGCGTGAATGTTTTAAACAGTTAAAATGATGGCGTGGCAGTAAAATTTTTACCTGTGAATTTATGCTCCTTTTGTAATAATGCTTCATCATCCATCCATATAACCTTCCGGCATTATTCATAATGTTTCAGTGTTTATCTACAATGTTTTAACATCTACCATAACATTTCGGCATCCAAATAACGTCTCGGCACCTATCCGTGATGTCACGGACTCTACTCATTATTTTATATAACTACCATCATCTTTCGGCATTCAAAATGGTTTTTAGAGCATCTATATACACCCATAACTTGCGGCATTTAGTCATAACGTTTCGTCCGTCACTGGTCCCATTTTGTTAAAGCTTATTTTGCTAATGTTGAACTTAGTAAAACCAGATCCCGTTATAAAAAGGATGTGAAAAATAATATACGTTTAAAAATTACTTTTTAAAGACAACACTTCAAAAGAATCCAGTGTCTCCAATCTTACAGATGTACAATGAATTTCTCATTTAATTTTCGAATATTAAAAAATTAATTTTTCAACTTTTTAATATATAATTTTTTTAATATATAAACTTGTTTCAAAATTATTTATTCTATTAATTGATTCATGCATTGCCTCTGACTTCGCACAAGTGTGCAAAATTTCAGATCAATTAGACAGGTAAAAGTGTGTCTAATATCAGTTATAAGATTTGTAGCTGACAAAATTAGATTTTCAATTTTTTTAATATTGAAAAAAATTTTTTTTTATTTTAAAAATCATTTATTTTGACATTTGATTCATGCATTGTATCCAACTTTACACAAGTGTGCAAAATTTCAGATCGATGGGATAAGTAGAAGTGTGTTAAATTTCGATTACAAGATTTGTAGCAGACAGACAGACAGACAGACAGACAAACAAACAAGAAGTGAAGTTAAAGAGAAGTGTTGTAAAATTGAAATCTATATGAGCCATAAATCTTTTTGAGCCGCGAAACTACATTGAAATAATCCCCACAATTATTTTGTGTTCTAACTGACCGGATAGATGTGAGAACTTTAGACCAGAACTTTAATAACATTTAGGCTGGTCCGGGAATGGCTACGACATCAGTTGTTATACGTTATTAGATCCAAATTCTAGTGATTATCGTTAATTCGTGAGTAGTCTAATTAGTGAGTGAGTATCATCTAATTAACATTAGAATTGAAAAAAACTCCGTTTCTAGCAGCTCTATACTAATTTCATAATTTGTTTCTGAAAATGATACATTTCATAAATCTACGCACATCAAATTTCCACCCTACGGCCGCAAAAAATTTCGAACGGACTTACAATCTGAGACACTTCCGCAATTTTGTTATTGTGTTCCGAGAACAACTTGATTTTAGCAAAATTTTGGCACATATTTTTGGATGGTAGGCAAAGTAAATCACGTCATTTCCAGCGTAATGTGGCCGAGTGCTGATAGCTCGACCTCTCTGGCGCCGGACGCGCGGTGACTTGGCGCGCATCCGCCCCTGCCGGCGGTACGGCTTACGCCACAGCAGCGGCGCCTGAGTCGCGAAACTTCCCTCGGCATCGGGAAATTAAAATATTCATAAATGAAATACAAAATATCCTCCGTGAAGAGGACAACATTAAAAACTTACACTGGCATAGGAAATAGATCCTACAAATATACGTATGTAAGAAGTTGACCATAGAAATGTTGGTAAGGGGTTGTTTCGTAATTGAAGCTGTGCATAAGAGAAATATGAATATTTAAATCCTGTTATGTCGTCACTAAATTTAACTTGAATTCTTGCTTTGTATTGTAGCAATTCAATAAATCTGCACTATTTTTGTAGCAAAACTGTTATTTCGAGACTAACAGCTTAATATTAATATTTCGAGACTAACAGCTTAATATCGATTCATTGTGCAAAATGAATGTTGCACAATGAATCATTGTATGCGGTTGATCTCGCACTACTGCATTCTCTCCTCATCAACCAACCCGGCACACCATTACGATGACACAACAGTTTTTCTGCACACGCAGGGTCTTTATAACTAGCAGGTGTAGGAAAACGTTGCTTTATTCAGAGGCTGAAAATCCACAATATATCACGTTGAAATAACTTTCAATACTGAAACTGTCAATAATTGAAACATTATTTCGCATCAATATTATAGCATTAGATATTTTGTCAAATACTAGCCAACTGGGAAAATATTCTGTGAAATTGAGTAACTTTTATTTTTCGTACTGACATTTCAGTATTTTTTTAGGATCGCATCAACGTAATCCTCAATATCGAACAATCAAGTATCTTAATCTGAGATATTGTTCACCAACCACTCAATTGAAATACCTAAAGCCCCAAAATCCTATAAGTTATCGAATGGCAACCAAAAATTTTCATAAAGCAACTAATTTCAGAACGAAAACCTAAATCTAATAAAATAATTTCGAAAGTTCTCAACTGTGTGCTGAAATGATCAAGGTTCAGGTGAAGTAATTCCACAAAATGTGAAGCAAGTCTAAAGTAAGTCTACAATCTTTCTTTATTTGAAAACTTTTTTTTTTAAATTAGTCCACTACATCTTTAACCGTAAGACTTTTCCCAGAAGTTTAAGTAAGTCTAAAATATTTCTAATTTTAAATAATTGCTGCTGTCCAAATATATTATTATCAAATATATTTATTACCGTTTTGATCTCAGGAGAATTCCGATTGGTCTCTTTAATAAACAACTGGAATTGGATCAAAATCAATGTGTATATTAGATCTTGATTTCTATTTGATGTTAATCCCTATTTTGAAGGAGGGCTTGCAGAATCCCTGGAATTATCGAGACTAACAGATAGGGGAGCGATGTAAAGTTCTCTAAATTGGAGTACGGTGATAGAGGTTGTGCTCTGCTTGAGCGAACAGATATCTTTGAACTGCGTTCAAATACTTGCTGATTTTATTTGTTAAGTGCAGTGGTAGTTCAATTATTACCCTAATGTCTCATTACGAAAATCGTCATCTATATTTTTAGTAGAGAGTTAATTAAATTCCTTAGCGAAACCTAACAAGTGAAATACTTTAATGTTAAGCAATATGCAAATTTTTTGTTTGCTCTATTTTCTTGTAAGAAAAAGACTTATATATTTTATAATTTTTATAATCAAATAGATTTCCGTAAAATTTGGTGGCATGAATTGTTATATTGTTAAGGAAATACTTTTTAAACACCATCGGCAAAAAAAAGTATTTCGACAATGGAGTGGAAATTTGGTGCTCCTTTTGTTTTCCAGTATCATTTTTATATTTCCTTATGATTTTTTGTTTTATAGGATGGTGAAATATTATTATTATTTTTATCCGTGTATTTTTTATTGACATTTTGGCCTGTGTTTTCTGGTGGCCAATTTTAGAGAAGATAAATTGTTTAATAGAAAGATCTGTAAAAATTTTGTTGTATCGTAGGTATCAATGCAATTATAACAAGGCAGCATTAATACTCATGGATTATCTTCAAAATTAATGTGTAAACAATAATTTGCATTAACTAATACTTGAAGTATCAAACATTCCTGCCCTGCCTACCATTCAAATATGATAGTTCTATATAGCGTCCATACTAAGACTTCGACTCCTGCACTCACAGTTCCTAGCCATGCAGTCCGCTAAGTTACATGTTCCGCCAGCGCAGTGCAGCTTCTAGCCGCTTCCTGAGAAGCATAACGCGTTTTCCGGACCATATGCTTGCTCAGCATTTCGGTAGCACCAATTTTAACGAACCATTTGGGACCCAAAGCCTTAGAGCGCCTGCAATCGATAGCTTTTGCGACTCAAGAAAAATTTTATATTCATCTTAGCTTATTCACGTTTCGATTCCGATAATGCAGCGGCCGATTTTTTTTATGGTCTAGAATCAGGAGAATTTGAACTTGTAATCGTTATATCGTTACCTGAACAGTATTTATTTGGGTTAAAATGGCTGTGAACACTGAACTGCCTGCGTAATTCAAAATCTAATTACTGGTATCGGACTGCCTTCTTTTACGAACCTTGCCGACGCCTGTCGATACTGTAACTATATTATAACTATAGTTATACATAAACTATATTATCTGCACTCAAGTTATTGTTTAATGTTCTAAAGCTTGATTACATCCAAGCTTTTCCATTTAAGACTGAAATACATTTCTCCTTTTTACAGTTAAACTATTCCTTTCCTTTTACTTTCCTTGATAACTGAAATTCAATTCCTTTGCTTGACCCAGTCTTTAACCGCTGTCTCTGAGCAAATTTAACAATTTCACTCATGAACTAAATTAAGTTAGAATGTTTGAGGTACATTGCTGAAAGACAAAGTTTCTATTATGCTTTAAGCCGTTCAATGCGTGAGACACGATTATCTTATTATAGCACAAGGGCTGTATTACGATAGTAGCGGAAACATACCAATCGTTTCGAAAATCAATCTACGGAATGACTGCGTAACATACTGCGGTGATGCAGTGGTGAGAGACTCAGTCTCTCGCAATTAGCTCCCGGGTACGAGTCCCAC